TATATATATATATATGAAAAGCTTTCGATTCCTTTTTTCTGTCTGATGAATATTACTGAATTTTAAAAAATATATACTTTAGTTCATTTTTATTAAAAAAAAATATGTACATATATACATTATTATACATACATGTTCTGTAAGTTTTATTTTTATGTATTTAATTTTATTTAAAAAATTACATATAAAAAACATTAAATTATACATATTTTCTATATATTTTCTTAAATATGAAATGTATATATAATATGCAATGTTTCGCTTAAAATTAATAAAAAATATTTTTATTTAGCTAAATTTGAAAATTATTCATTAAACTATCTATACAATTCTATATAAATGATATATAATACCTACCAAGTCAAAATTTTTTATAATTTTGTTATATAAAGTATGTGCTTTAGGGCATACTGTGTGTGTAAACATTTTTATTAACTTTATAAATATTGGGGGAAAAAAATATTTTATTAAGATAATATTGTGAAGTACATGTTAAAAAAGATATATTAAAATGATAAACTTTTTGTTAATTTAAAATTATTAAAAATGATACATTTTATGTAAAACAAAAGAAAATTATTTTATAAATAATATTAGAATGTACTTTTTATTTAATATATTTACTTTTTATTTTGATTAACTTAATTTTATAATTTTGTTATTATATATAAAAATTAGTGTGTGTGTGTGTGTGTGTGTGTGTACACCTGTATATATATCCTGGTGGGGACTTAAACCTGAATACACAGACTCATGGCGCCTCTTTCACCGTGGGGACTTAGAGGTCCTCATGGGGAACAAGCTTGTAAATCATACAGAATGAAGTTTTTTGAAAATCTAAAAATGCAGAAAGTTTCCTGTGAGGGGTAGGTTTAGGTGTAGGGCACATTATACTGATAATATAATTTTCAGTGTTTCATAAATGTGAACATATCAATGTAATAAAATGCGTATTTATTATTTGGCCTCAAAATGCTCCAAACACAGTTCGTGCGTTCTCTGGGTTTTGGTTCCGGTGTATAAATCCCATAATCAGGAACCTGCCGCCATCTAGTGGTGTTTTCCAGGAAGAGACGTTTAAATGTCGGAAAGGTTCATCTGACTCATTATATTTTCTAGATGAGTCTGGAAACCCCCCACCTGAGACAGACGAGAAAAGCTGCAGATAAAAGTTTCTAACCCAACAATAAGACCGGAATCAGAGGAAAACCTGTGGGCTAAATACAGTAACACTCGCTTTCATAAAACCACCGGTACTTTCTGCGTATTACACGGGGTTTATTTGTGTTTTTATTTTATTTTTTTTACTAAATAATACATCAAATACACTTCACATTTGTTATATTTGTTAGAATAAAATGCAACAATATTATACAAATGTTGTCATTAAATGTCACGTGGTGTAACCATCAAGTACAGAAACCGTGATTACATGTGAATTTACAACCTAAACATTATTTGAAATAAATTTCCCAAAAGAATATATATATATATATTCTTTTGGGAAATTAGATCG